CTTCTAAGAGACACACACATAGAGAATGCAAAAGAGGAGTATTTAAAATTAGCAAAATATTCAGTAATCTTTTTTACCTAATGTAAGGCTTTTTCGCCAGCATGTGAGAACATGATGAGGATCAAATATTTAAAAAATCCCATTCATACATGCAGATATGCACTATCATCATCTTCTTCTTTCTTTGATTTCGCATTTTTTCCACTTTTTCTCAATTTATTCGTCATTCACAAATATCCGAATACGAAATATCTGAAATTACCCAAGCGATTGTTTCGTTATGCTCTTGAGCCCGTCAACAACAAGATGAATGTTAAATGCTTCGTCAATAACAAGGTGAATGGTATAACTGACTACGAAGTATAACTATCGAACTGAATCAATGCAATGTGTTTACATAGTGAACTATTTTTTACACTATACAAGATTGAATACATAACTATTCGTATATAACCAGTGAACTATTTTAGTTAACTATATTTAATTATAAGTGTTATTTAGTTCATTATCTTGATATACAATTGTAAAGATATACAATTGTAAAGATTATATAGTTAACTATATTATTACAATTGAATCAATTATAGTACAAAATATATAGTTCACTATATTATTAATTGAATATCTAGCTACAACAACATAAAAAATAGGAATATAATCAACTATACAAAGTAGAAATTTTAGCTAACTACAACAACATAGAAAGTAGAAATATAATTAACTATACTGCCATATGAGATCACTAAATCAAGATTAATTTGCATCAATCTCGATTTTTTTCTGAGATCGGAATGATTGATTCTGTAAAAACAAAATTTAGGGATTTCGGATTTTTTTTTTCCATGTGTGTGAAATGTCGGCGTGTAAAATTTTCTAGAGATTTTTACTAGTTTCTTCATGTTATGATTTTTTACTACTTTTCTTATACAATTTCGTAAGGGCAAATTTATCTCAATTTTTCATCTATCTGTTATTTACCTAAATTCAATTATACTTATGTTACTTTCCTAATTTAATATCCCAAAAGTGATATTGAACTAATTAACCCCTTTTTCGCTAGGTTTCAACTGACATTATTTACTATGTGGCACCTAACGATTCATTGTTTTTTTTAAACTAATTTATCATAGACAATATTATGTTTTATATTGTTTACTAAAGTAAGTTTGCATTTATATAAATCTTCATTTTGATTTATTTTAAAAATTCAAATGATTATATAATATTCAAATATTCATATTGTTAAAAACTAGTAAATATCTAGTATATATCTAGTATAATTAAATTTCTTCTACAAGGCTTTGTTTCTTGTCGTTTTACGGTTTTTAATTAAAAATATCTTTTATAAAGTTCTTCATCTACTGTTTTCTAATATTTTACAAAAAAAAGAAAAATAAATATTAAAGTAACGAGAGAAACTGTCATAGTATATTTTCTTCGTATTCAATTATATTTGAAAAGAAACTGCCATTATTGTTGAAAAGAAATGATGGGGATTTGATCATGGGGTTAGAAGCAACACAACAAATTTTAGCTATCTCATATACGTGACCACATACCTTCTTCTTTTTTTGTCACAACGTGACCACATACCTTATATGTTACATATGCCCATGGAACCAAAGCCTTCCGGCTCCCTAGCTTTGATTAACGGTATCGATGAATCTGTGATGAAACTCATAATTCTTAGTCAACTTTGGCTTATAATCCTTTGTCTTCTGATTCGTATCATTAATTATCAACGTTTTGTAGTAAAAATCGAAAAATGATTCTTGCTCTTTGATCTTTTACTAAAAATCAGTAATGAGCCTCATATCAAGATGAGATTGCAACCGCTAGTTTTATCAATAATAACTATAAAGCATCAGATAGAAGCGGAGACTCGTTCTGACACCTAGAATTCACACCAAGGGAATACGAAGGAGCTGAAAACGCCCTTGAAATCACTACCACTACGGTTCGTAAGGCTAAAACCAACACATATGACTTAAACAACATGAAACCAAGACAAAGATTACCACAAACAAAAAATGAAAACATATTAAAACACTTTGATGCTTCTTGACTCATACTCAACCTAACACCACGCTCTAGAAATTGACCTAAAAGGATAAAAAATATTGAGAGCAAGCTGTTGATATGTATCGCCAATTAAAGAATTATTTGAAAAATAGAGAGGAATGACAATACGTTGTTCCCAGACGATGGAGAACAAATTTCCAAACCTGTTTAGAGAAATTACAATGGAGTAGGAGATGATGCCTTGATGTTGGGTAAGAGCTGGATACACAACATGATGAGAATGATGAGGGAACATTCATCCCCTGGCTTACTGGTCTGGTCCGAATCAGAAGTCTATCCATATTCGATATCTAGAACATAAAAGCGTGTATTTAAACAGTGTTCTTAAACGGCGCTGCTTTTGTCCAAGAAATTTTATGAGCTAAAGAACTAAAAACGTCCCATGTTTTCTTGGCCGAGAACTAGCTAACACGATTTCCTTCCATTCCCCAAGAGTAGTTTTCATGTTCTCTTGAGGAATGTGCATGTTGACTATGTCACAGGGTATTACGGTAAGCTATAATTGTAGTATTTACGGATTTTGCTAAAGGCAATCTCTAGCCCATGTGCCCATTTGCTTCTGCTGAAGGAGCATTGACTCATAGACTAATCTTATGTGGATCATTGCTCCAATAAATTAGAAAAGACTGTGTTTGGTCCATTTATCAGACCAAAAAAATTGTTGTTTCAATTATTGACAAAAGGATAGTGAAAAAATAATTGTGTTTTACTGTATAAAACAAAGTTATTTTTGTCAATCAAAACCTAATCTAATTTTAGAGAAATTATCTAACTTTATCTTCTTTGACTTGTGCTAAGTATTAATTCTATCTTCTTTGACTTGAAGTGGTTAGAAATTATCTTAAATGCACCGAGATCGGATATAAAAATTTATATACTTATTAGGATAGTCTACTTATCCTAGTGGACATTTATCGTGTATCATATATTTTTGTCAAACAGAGTTACAACATAAAAGTTTTGATTTATTTTCCATTAAATCCTCATCTTAACAATGTTTCCATGATAACAATTCAATTATAAGTTTGACACCTCAAAGTTGTGATTTTGTTGATAGAACTAGCTAGGAACAATTCACATTGAGAAATAACTTACTTTTTGTCATTATTGAACTAAAAGAAAGTAGTAATGATTTTAAGAAGAATTTTTTTTGCTTTAATTAATTTATAAAGTGTAAATTTAAATAAATGTTGAATTTTATAGTTATCACTTATAAAGGATAGAGAGTAGATTATCCACATTTAGAAGATGGTTAAGTGGGGTTCGATTTCTAAAATATACAATTTCTTGCGAACTATGAAAGCTTATTAACAAGCTATAGAGGAATATATAGAAAAGAATAACGTTTATTATGATTGGATGATTTTCTTACAGTATATGCAAGGACAGGAGAATCAAATAATCTAATTATGAATAACTTTACTCGAGAATAAAACATCATTAATAACTTTTAAAAGAAGAAACATCATCTGCCTTATTTTTCTTTAAAGCCATCCACTCAAAGAAAGTGGACCGATCATTTACCATACAAATATACAAGTGTTAAAGTAAAATAACTTTAACCTTATGAAAACCATTTACAAAATAAAGTATTAATAAAATATATATGCACGGTCTTTAATGACCACAACGATGATCCAATGACATGGAAAGATACGCCCAAACACTCTGTTAAAGTTTCATCTACTTTTAGAATAATCTCCCAGCCAGGTGATCTGTGCATTTTATTGCTTAACTAGATAGATTCATTTTCGAAGGAAAAGTGATATAGTTGACATCTATTTTTTCACATATCAATTTTTTTGTTTGCATGTGTTAACAGTAGAAATCAGTTTATTTGAGATGACTGCAGTTATTCTATAAAATTTTGTTTTCCAATTTCAAAACAACGACAATGTTCACAATTCGCCAAGACAAGTAACAAAAAAAAACAGAGTAATAAGACAAAAGAGGTCAGACCAGAGAAAGTAAAACCACAAGACTCAATAAGTAGTCTTGTTCTACACTTGATTATGGAGTCATACCGGTCCTCCACGCAGGAGCCCCGTACTAATATTTTAGGAGTCCTAAACCAAAAAAAACAAGAAAAAAATTGGGTTTTTAAGATATGTTTTTAAAAAATGAGAACATAAATTATAAGTTTTAACATTTTAGGGGCTTTTTATTGCAAAATAAAAATAAAACGGGATTTTTTTTACAAAATATAAATAAAACAAGAGCTTTTTTTTGCAAAATAAAAATGAAACGGAGTCTAATTTTAATATTGGAAAACTAAAAAATATTAGGGGCCAAAGGCCCAAACCTCATTGGTCTTGGCTCAGGGCCGATCCTTCTTCCACATATTATATACGAACGAAACCGAGGACAATGGAGTGAGCAATCACAACCAAGTATATGTAGCATCTCTCAAACTCGAGCATTAGGTATTGTATCTTGTCTAACAAACTTCAGAACATTGGCCAGTCATGTGGATATAATATAACATCTACCGGCGAAACACAATCGATAGCAACCTCGATCCTAGAGAAATGAATGTCCCGTAGAGCTTCTATAGCCTAAATGATGCGGTGCAGCTCTGCTAAGATGCGACAAGTTAAGTGGATGAAGACATCTCGACTATGATATAATAAAAGTAGTTTTTTTGAAATTCTCTCAAACAATTCTTCTAAATATTAAAAATCAATATTTGTAACTTAATTTTCTATTTGTATTTTAAAATATTACGAATGTCTGAATTTTTTTTAGGACGAAACGAATATTTAATCTAGTCGAATTTTAGAGCATGTCTAATTCTATTTTATTTTCATTTTCAAATAGAATTGGAGTAATCATCTCCGATTCTGTTTTCTTTCTAATTCTAAAATAAAATAAAAAATAGGTTTACTCTATATATGAAATAATCATATTTATTATTCTAGATTTTCACTCATTAATAATAGAGTGGATTTAAATCAGACACAAAATTATTTTTAAGTTAATCTATTTTA